TATCATTCACTTTATCATTACTTTCTTCTTTTCCTTCCTCCTTTGTCTTCTCTAACCATTCCACTTTTGGAAACATGTCAGATAGGTAGTTAGATCTCTCTCTCTCTCTCTCTCTCTCTATATATATATATATATATATATATAGATAGATAGATAGATAGATAGATAGATATAGATATAGATATGGATATAGATAGATAGATGTATCTATCTATAGATATATATCTATCTATATTCATCTGCCTATGTATCCAGAGCTATCTACCTTGTATCTTAGCTAGCTTATATCTAGCTTGTATCTGAGCTATCATCAATAAATGAGAAAAGACATGCAACATTTATCTTTCTGAACCTGGCTTGTAAATTTTCATTTCTTTAAATTCCTCACTTTATATAGTTTCAATGACTCTTCTCTTCCCGGTTTTCCATATTCAGAAAACTGTACTGCTTAAATATGTTCATATCTGAGCATCATAGACCAACTGTGGTATAAGCAATAAATATTATACCGAGATTTTCCTTCTGTTGATTGAAGAATCAATTTCTGCCAGCCAGTATCCAGTTTTCAAAAGTATAGGTTAAAGGAGTATGGCTCAAGTAGTAGAGCATCTGCCTAGCAAGTATAGGGCTTTGAGTTCAAACCCTGGTCAAGCAAAAAATATTTAAAAGTATAGGTTAAAATCCAGTTTTCTAAGCAAAAGTTCAGATCCCAACTGAGTGACTTAAACTAGCAAGTTTTTGGTGTACTACAGAAACATTTTATTGCTCTAAATTTCTGACTATAATTTGGATGTTTTCTATTTCATCTTTCATTTGTATCAGTTTTTGTTTTATGTATATTAAAGCTCTGTTACAGTATACATATATAGGGTCATTATGTATTTTGATGAAATTAGATCTTCATATTATGAAATATTCATTTCTACTCTTGGTACTTTCTCTTGTTCTGAAATCTACTTAGTGTATTTTTAATATAGCCACTACAACTGTCTTCTGATTAGTTTTTCATGATACATATTTCTGAATCATTTCATTTCTACTCTGTTTCTTTATATTTAAAGCAGGTGTTTTATAGACAGCATAGTTAGAAATTAGTTATTTTATCCAATTTGATAGTCTCTTCCTTGTAATTGGAGTGTTCAGGCCATTTACACTTGCTTCAAAGCTTGAGTATGTAACCAATCCTACCAATGTTTTCTGTTAATAAAATTAAAATCCATAAACATAAAGTGATTTTCCCAAAGTTACAGAGAAAATTAACAACAGGGCTAGGGTCACAATACATATTAGGTTCCTAGCTTCAGGGTTATTTCTCTAACACCCCATTAGTGCAAGTATCAAATTGAGTTTGAATCTAGCATCTTGCTAAGATGTTACCCTTCTAAAAACTCTTTCATGTATTACAATACTCCTACACTTTGCTGGGTGGTAATTTTGACTATTTCTAGTTTTTTACCACCATTAAGACTGCTTTTATGTTATTCTTTCCTCTCCTTTTGGGAGTTTCCTTACACATGTGTGCAAAGGAGTAATCAGTCAAATAATGCTAAAGGACCTCTGTGCGTATCTCTGAAGCTCTGTCTCTGTGCAGCATCCTTCTCTTTTGTATTCTGTCTTGTCTTTTCCCAAGCTCTCATCTCCATCTCCTCAACTCAGTATCACTGCTAGGTTTGCTTGTGCTGGCCTGCTACCAGCACAGAAACTGCCCAGGGTATATGCTATAGCAATTATAGGACATGTCTCACTTCATTCTTCTTTACTCATTGTCTTAAAATTACTGTGTCTTATAGTTCAACCTCTTTTCTAGTTGCTTAGGGTAAAAGAGAAATCCCTAAAATAAATGCTTTATGGGCAGAAATAGAAATCTGTGGATTTTTCTGTTTAATCTAGAGAACACATACTTTTGATAGTCTGAGCATAAACCTCACCAAGGGTGTTTTGTTTTCAGGAGTATAATTATTAAACTATACCAACCCATTCACCACCACATATACACTTCTGTTCCCCATTAGTACCTACTGCTGCTTAATCTCACTTAGGTTATTGCAATTCCCAGGGAACATAAGAGAAGTATGACATTGACTAAGTGCAACACTATATTCATGCCTTCCTTTCTCTTAGGTTAGAAGAGAATTAGACTCTGGCAGACATTAATGAGGGTCATACTTACCTTGCTTAAAACTATTTCACAGGACACTTTGCTGCAGAAGATATAGCCTCTAGAGTTGAGAATTTGAACAAAAATATGGAGTCTCTCCATACTCGAGCTAGTAGGCGACAGAATGATCTTGAGGCCAATGTCCAGTTCCAACAGTACCTGGCTGACCTTCATGAAGCAGAAGCATGGATTAGAGAGAAGGAGCCTATCGTAGACAACACTAACTATGGGGCTGATGAAGAAGCAGCTGGGGTAAGGTTGGGTGGGAGGGGGCTAAACCTTCTGTAATGCTACCCAATTATTAATTTAGGGGTTGTGTAGATTGTGTGACAGATACAGATCGTGCGAGATTTTGGAGAGTTTCCAGAGAGATCACCTTTGGTCTTCATTGGCTGGGATATTATCAGAGTTAAAAGGGATCTTAAAAGATGTGTCACATTTTTCTAAGCCATAGAAATCCATAGATTCTTGAAAGAGTTACTAAATTCAAAAAAAGGTGACCAAAGGTCCATACCTGTCTTATCACATTTGGGACTTCTCAGAGTAACCCTGGACTTTCATAAGCCAACCATGGTTTTAAGACAAATGAATCTTAATTTCTTTATCAAAATAAAGTCAGTTAGACAAGAACAATCTCAAAGTTCAAAATAGCCACTTTTTTTCATTTTTATGTGGGAAGCCTAGATAGTATTTCATAAACCTTAGGCCATAAAAATAATTGGAATGTGCATTTAAAATTATGCTAGTGATATTCTACAAGTAACATTATAAGTAGCATCACTTTGAGTCATGGTATGTGTTAAAATGTGTATAAATTTTAGCTAATTTTGATTTTAGTAAATATATTGAAATTGTTATTCACCTATTAATCCCATTATTCTTTTTCTGAAGTTTTAGCAAGGATTTATTTTAGCATAGCTGATAAAGTAGGGAAAAGTAAGAAAGGGAAGAGAAACATCTCATGCTTCATATGCAGGAGATGGGATTGAAGAAAACTCCAACTCCAGTATTCTGGAATGTTGCAAATGCAGGGTTAAAAGCAACCTTGTAAAAATGAAAAGTGGATCTTATCAGGATTTAAGACAACCACTATAATAAAAAATGACAGTAGTCAAAGTATCTCCCAATTTATTCTGATTATCTTCTCATCAATAAATCCAGGCTCTTCTTAAGAAGCATGAAGCCTTTCTTGTGGATCTCAATGCATTTGGAAAGAGTATGCAAGCTCTTCACAGTCAGGCAGAAGCCTGCCAGGTAAGAAGGACTTCCTGATGACAGGAATCACACAACACAGAGACAATGGAGTTCTCTTTGTCACTGATTTTTACTTTCTACAACCTAGGGGAAAATGGCAAAGAAAACACTAATTTCTATCATGCTTTTAGGCAAGAATTGTAACATCTTTGGAGCATCTATACAGATTTAATCCAAAGAAATTTTAAATAAATATTATCATACATTCATTGGTGTCTATTTTGGCTTTCTCCTTTCCTCCTTTTAATATACCTTCCTCCTCCTTCCCATTCCTTTCTTCTTTCCTTCTTTGTCTTTATTTGCATCTCTCCTCCTTATCTTCCTTGTTAATTCCCTTTTGGTTTTACTTAGCTTTTGTTTAAATATCAACATTTATTAAATGTCTGACCTATGCAGATATGGATAAAAAATTATCCTTACTGACAAGAGAATTACAGTGTTAGGGGGCTAAAAATTTAAGCAATAATACATGTATAAATAGAAAAAAGAGTCCCAAAAAAAGGAGCCTTATGTTCTCCTGAAACAGGAATGCCAAAAGACAGAGAAATTTTCATAACTGTGGTTAATCATTTTATCTAGGTTATTTTTTAAATGGGCATCTACTTGTGCAGACAAGGAGGAAAAGTTATTTTCTAGCCGATAAATTGTGAGAGTAGATGAACTGAGATGAAAAACCATCAAGTGCATTTGAGGAATGAAAGATGCAATTGGCTGAGAATATAAGAATAGCTAGGGCACAGGGTGAAGTGGAGTCATGAAGAATGATCAATATGGAATCAAGTGAATATATAACAGTGCTTCCTGTGTGTAAGGAAGAAAAACAAAAGAGACAAGCTTCTTATATTCAGGGAATTCTTTCTAATGAGAGCCTCAGAATTCACAACCCTGGACGAGACAGAAAGCATAGACTCAGCATGGCAAATCAGCATACACTCACAGAGCTCCTGCCTGCGCCTTTGCCAGGCTACCCACAGTGAGTGCTTAGACATGAACAGACAGGCTTATGATTTCATCTCATAAGGAAAGGCAGTATAATGTGAAGGACGTTAAATCAGGCTCTCTATAAGGTGAGGTCTATTTTCAACCCCAAACTGAATAACGGGTGGGTCATTGCTTAGGAAGAATTTTGCTCATTCTCTCAGAGATACAATGTTTGCAGACAGTAAAAAAGCACAAACTCTACCTGGAGAGCAGGTTGCATGCAAAAGAGAGACAGAACACATTTTTAATAACACCAGTTTATTTTCTCAGTTTTTAAAACTCTGTAGTGTTTCCTGTACTGTGGTCACCTATCTGTAAAATAGAAGATCCACAATTATTCTGTTTTGACATAATTACTTAAAAGACCAAGTAGGCAGGAAGAATTATTAGTAGAGGCCCGGAGGAAGGAGATGATGAGGACAGATCAAGGGTCTTTAACCTCTTAAATGGTTTTCTGGAATGTTGATGTGCATGATTTTTTAGGCCTTCTTAGAACAGCATATTACCCCTCCCACTTTAATACCGGTGGCTTAGAGAATTTATTGTTTCTGACAAACTGTCTATTTGCTTGTTGACTCTGGGTTGACATTTCTCACCCTGCTAGTCTTCTGATAAATGTTAAACTACATCAGTATCTCTAAAGACCAACCATTTTAATCTCTAGCAGACACTTAAGAGGTTCCAGTCAGAGCCTTCTCCATCTTGTGAAGATGGGACTTCACCACTGGTAGATTCTCCAGGGGAGAGCTTCCTATTATGTAACTAACATATGCCTGTATTTCCTTCAGCAACAGCAGGCTGCTCCAGTAGAGGATGCTGCTGAAGAAGCGAGGGTTGTGGCTTTGTATGACTTCCAGGCCCGCAGCCCCCGGGAAGTCACCATGAAAAAAAATGATGTCTTAACACTGCTCAGTTCCATCAACAAGGTGACTTTTTCTTAACATTCTTTCCACTGACAAAGACAAAGTGGCTCTTTCACAGTCATCTCTTCTATCCTGCCAAATTACTTCATCTCTTTAATACTTTGTAATTTTTTAAATAGTACCTATTCTCCTACACTGTGAAATATCATATATATATATATACATATATATATAATTTTTTGGAAAAAAAAGTCCTTAATTTACTATTAAGAAAATGAAGAGTCAAAGAAGTTAGGTAATATAAAATTATAAGATATATAATGATGACTGCAATTCTGCCATGTTTTTACAGGACTAAATTATCCCTTTCTTCACATCTCTTTGCTTGTTCCTCTTCTGTGCCAGTATTCTTTGTGATGGAGCAACAATGCCTGGTGTTAGGAAGAACCTGATTTAAAAAATGAGTCTTTTGCTGAGTGCAGAGATACATTTCTATAGTCCAAGCTATTAGGAGGTCTGAGGGGTTTAAGGCCAGTTGTGGTAACATAGAGAGATGGTTTCTAAAAAAAGAAAGAAATGATGAATCACTTATCAATCTTGGTTTTCTATAGATTTTATGACCATGAGAGCAGTGATAAAATACTGGCTGTGATTTTGATACATTTTTCAAAAGAAATCAATAAACTTTTATGAAATAATAATTAATATCTAAAACTTCTTGGTAAGAAAAGAATTGGTGATATTGTTACTATGAAGATAAGTGAATGTTTTGGAAAGGTAAAATGTTTCATCACCAAATAAATTGTGTGCTAGTCCCTCTTTCTTTTTGCCTAGACCTCTTCATTTTGCCGCAATTATTCTTTGAGAAAGTTAACTCCACAGTGGTTAGTTAAAAGTAAAATACTTAACATTAGTGCATCTCAGGACTACTGACAATTTTTAGTACCTGTAGAAGTAAAATCAGGAGAAATTTTTGTGCAATATTGTCATAGAGATGCTCCATGCCCCCAAGAAGTCCTGTTCAATTTCTGGTGAACAAAGGACACCATCATTAGAAGAGCCGTATTTGTTTTTTTTTTTTGAAAAATAAAACCCACAGCTAAGGGTATGGCATTAATCATCACATTAATTGATATCAGAGGCTTGTCTCTACAATTTCTGCAAGTCCATATTTACCTCTTTTTTGTAATAAGTGGAAGTTATTTGTCACCTATAAGTGGTGGGAGATTTCTCCAGGGCCACCAGTTTGTGCCTAGAGAGTTTGTTTTGTGAGTTGAAGCCTCTCCTCTTTGTGGCTTTTTGAGAATTAAGGAAGGAATGGGAATGTGCTCTTCTTTCAGGACTGGTGGAAAGTTGAAGCTGATGACCACCAGGGCTTTGTCCCAGCTGTCTATGTCAGGAAACTGACCCGTGACGAGCTCCCTAGTCTCTCACAGCGGCAGCGAGAAGAGCCTGGCAGCATCGCCCAGCGTCAAAAGCAGATCGAGGACTTGTAAGTTCTGAAGACTGAAAAACTGGTCAGTGTTTGACCAAATATTTCCTATTGATTGGAAGCACTTCTCATGATTCTGTGTTTGTTAACTTAGAGACGGAAATTCACAGATTTTAAGAACTGAAAGTAAATTTAAGATGCTTCAAATACTTAAGTTTTTATATGAAGGAATGGAATCTCAGGAACATTAAGTCAGTTGCATGAGGTCACACACTTAATACAACAATATCTTCTGACTCCCTGGTCAGCATCCCTTCAGGGTTTTTAAATCATCTGTTCACAGCCGTATGAACATTGTGTACGTCACATCCAATTGTCAGTTTGCATGTGAAAATTTCACTCTGATAGAATCTGGAAGGGATGTCACCAGTCATACTCTTGGGTCACTGATATTTTTATTGTTTTTAAATGTGATACTGTTTCTCTGTGCTCCTTGTGTTTTTTTCCATCTTTGCTTCCTCCTCTTGTTTAATGATCTTCTTATATTGATTTTTCCTTCCCTACCTTTTTGTTCTTTTTAACCTCTACTTCTCCTACCTTGCCTCTACTTATATTTATTTTCTTTATCTTTTATTACATATTTTAGCATTGTCTTAATCTCTCCACGTAGGTATCACTCCCTTCTTGATCGGGCAGAAGAACGCAGACGTCGTCTGTTACAACGTTACAATGAATTTCTGCTGGCCTATGAGGCAGGAGACATGCTGGATTGGATCCAAGAGAAAAAGGCTGAAAACACTGGAGTGGAACTAGACGACGTTTGGGAGCTGCAGAAGAAGTTTGATGAGTTCCAAAGGGTAAGAAAGAAACTTCTCTAGACTCCTTTTTGGGGATTGACATAGTTTCTTCCCCTATGCATGCTTATTAAATATCCTCCCTAGAGCAACTGAGAGCTCCACAGTTCAGAGCTTCCTCAGGGTGTTGTACTAGTTGTTAATAACTGAAAGGCAAATGCATAGGAAACTAGTCACTCTAATTGTTCAATTTGGAGTCCCTGCCTCTTCAAAATCCCCTTGGGAGTGCTGATGTCCTCCGGGTCCTCAAAACTTCCCCTATCAGTTATCGTGTGAAGCCCAGGTTGAGGTGGAGTGTTGTGGAAGTTGGGGTGGGAAGAGAAGTGACCTGACTTTACACATTGACTATTTCTAAGTATTTACCTATGTCTTAACTAGCATTGAGCATAAACTTACCCCTTTCTTTATATATATATATAGAGAGAGAGAGAGAGAGAGATGTATATTTATAATATATAGTATGTTATAAATTGTATAATATATAAATGCACAAACACAAACATGCATATATTAAGAGAGAGAGAGCTCCCTAGGGCTGTTTCTTACAATATCCCTTAGTACAGGACAATTATAGATCAGTCAATGAAATTTCACAAAACTGGAGGAGTTTGTAGTGATAGAAAATAATATTAAACAACTCAGGTAAATTAATGCAAGAAAAGATTTTAACAAATATTTGAAAAGGATATATTTCACACTCCAGATAAATAAAAGTTCTCTGGGCAAGTTTTGGTAGCTACTGGGTATTAAGGCATTTATGGGTACTCTTTCAGGAGCAGATTGAAGGAGAGCAGAGGTGAGGTGTGTTGTAAGTGGGGTTACAATATGTTTCAATAGTACTTAGCCAAATGATGACCAAAATGGAAAGGGAAATATGGAAAAGTTTTTGAGAAGAGGATTTACACTGCTTTGGACAAATTCTGTCATTTAGGATTTGAAGACCAATGAGCCTCGGCTAAGGGATATCAACAAGGTAGCTGATGATCTGCTGTATGAAGATCTTCTAACACCAGAAGGAGCTCACATCCGGCAGGTAATTAAGGCTTCTTTTAGGCTTCCTCATCACTAAATTGGGCTTTGGAGTCCTCAGATTAGTTATCCTATGCTATAGATATTGCCAGTTATGAAACTGGATATAGGAAAGGCCAAAAGCAATAGTCAAATATTTCAGCCGCTTTTATTATATAAATCAACTTGATTAAAACAGATTTATTTATTAGCATTTATTGAGTGTCCTTTGTATTCTCACATAGATTATTTTTTAGAGGGGGGAGTACAAAAGTATTAGCGACTATTGCACTGGACATCAGGAAAGTTGTTTCTATGTCCAAACTCTACTGCTCTCTGTCTGTGTGTCCTTGGTCAGCTCACTTCATTTCTGAGGACCTCAGTTGCCACTGAAAAGTAATAGAGTTAAGTAGCATGATTTCTAAGTTTCCTTTTAATTATCTCTACTGTATTCCATCAAATTGAACATAAATTTTTTACCTGTTAACCCTGTCCCAAATACTTTGAATCAAAAATTTTAATACATGTGTTTTTTACTAACCTAAAATTCTTAAATTATAATACATACTCACCTTTCTCTTACTGCTGCACACTGAAGAAATCCAGTGCTCAAATACATGAATACAAAGAAAGTACAGATAAAGAAGCCATGGTAGTGTGAAGAGGTTAATTAAGACAGTTCACTGGAAAACATAGATTTTGATAAACATAATGAAGAAGGAGAAGACTTTAAGAATCTCCCATCTCTGCAGATGGGTGAGGAAATTATTCACCTGATTTGTGTCTGGAGCTATAAATCTATAAAAGACCTAATGAATATTAAAGGAAACTCCAGTCTTGCTCTCTGGATTGCCATAAGCCAGTGTGGATAAGTTCCCTTCCTCTTTCTGTGGTGGTGTTAATGGGATAAGAAGGAAAAGGAATGTGCATGAAAATAATGTATTTATCCCCTACAGAAAGTAGCTGTCATAGACCAGAAAGAAATTGCTTGCCCTAGAGAAATGTGCCAGCTTCTAACTACCAATACGGTGCTTTTTTACTCACTTTCCCCAGAGGCTCTCATGTAATTTTTGTAATACCAAGCCTTGATTATTGTTCCAGTGTTGATAGTGCTACCAAGAACATCAAAAATAGGAAATCTTTTTCTCTATTGCACTATGTCAAACTCAGTCTATCCAAGAAAGAAGAAGTAGAACTATGCAACTTACAGAGATAATGTGAAAGCAATAATTTAAATCCCAGTTAGTCATAGACACCATTGAACTATTTGAGCTAGCTTTCTGCCTAACGTCTAATGTACCTGCTTCTTTTAGGAATTAAATACCCGCTGGGGTTCCTTGCAGAGGCTTTCGGATGAGCAGCAGCAGCTGCTACGCAGTGCCCATGCAGTCCAGGTGTTTCACAGGTAAGAGCTTTTTAACTCTAAAAAGCACTGTTACTCTAGAACTCATCGTCTAGTTACGATGATAAAACCAAAGCTGTAATGCAACCCTTTTTCCTGAGATAGAAAAAATTTGCTAATAGAAGACCAGGACTTTTAGCAATAGATTCCTCACTTGGCACATTTGATATTCCAAAGTAACCAACTTCAATTTTCTAATGCCTGGCTTGGGCAGTGGCACATAATTAGTAGTTTACATATGCTTCCGTGATAATGATCAAACTTGAAATATAAACAAAATGATTAAGTAATTATAGTTTTGTTGACCAGTAATGGGCAACAGACATCATAGTGACTCTGACTGTTCATTCAATACTTTTTAATATTTGATTCCCAAACCCATGTCTACACTAAGAGATAAATAGGCATACAAATAAATAAAAGAGAAACCAAACAACTTCGTAATGTATAAGTGCATTTTTTAAGATGTAGGGAAAAGAAAACAGAGACTCTGATAGCTCTGGCAGCCTAGAATAATTTAAGATGGAAATTTGTGAAAAATCATGGTTAAGCATATGGGTCTACAGTTAGACCATCTGGTTCAAACTTAGGATCCACTATTATCTTGAGGAATACTTATCTTCTTTAAGCCTCATTTTTCTGACACATGTAATGGAAATGGTAATAATAACTATGCTTCTGGTCATTGTGAAGATTAAAGGAGTCTAAAAGTCTAGCACATCAAAAAGGATGATGGTGGTGATGGTGGTTATGATAATTTCCTTGTGACAGCTAGTCTGTCTCTGGTACACATCATGACTCCTAAACGCTTCACTCTCTTGTGAACCAGAGAAGCAGATGACACAAAGGAGCAGATTGAGAAGAAGTGCCAGGCCCTCAATGCTGCTGACCCCGGCTCAGACCTGATCAGTGTTCAGGCCCTTCAGCGACAACATGAGGGCTTTGAAAGAGACCTCATCCCCTTGGGGGAAAAGGTGAGACCCATGTTCAAAACTTTCTCAGCACCTTTGTGTTTATATCTATGCCTGTACTCATGTTCTCATCTTTGGTTCTCTTTCTCAGTCTCTTATTCTTATTTACCTCTTTATCTTATGCCATACTTATAAGACCACTGAAAGGTTATACACCATGATTATTAACACTGGGAAAAATATATTGAACTTCTAGTGTTTGAGTGAGTCTCCTATATTCCTTTGCCTCTTCAGTGGATGTCAATAAATTAGAATTTGTGGCAAGTAGTTGGAGGCTGTGGCCCAGGAGAAATAGCAATTATTCATACTTGGAGAGTCAAGTCTATGCCCAAGAATTGTGTAGTATTTCCACAATCAGGAAATGAATGAGCTTAACTCTACCTCAAAACCCAAAAGTGAAGCCTGAAGCTTGCCAGATACATTTAAGGCAACATTCAGCTTGGCATTATACAGAGGAAAAAGCATATCTTCATATGAGGTATCAGGACCCTTGAATTTCCTAATTGTGGTACCATGAAGCAGCAAAGTCACTTCAACACCCTTACTCATAACTTCTTATTAAATAAAAGGAATGGTAAGGTCAATCTTGACTACTTCATAGAACTCTCATCTAAACTAAAGGGTTGGTATATTTATGAAGTATCAAGATCTGCTTTTACAGCACTGGTGTGTGTTTTAGGAGATGAATACCAGGACTCAGAACTATTCTTTTTCTAAGATTTAGGCTTATTATCAGAGTTCTTGCACCTCCCCAGGTGACCAGATTAGGGGCAACGGCTGAGCGGCTCTGTGAGTCCCACCCGGATGCCACAGAGGATCTGCAGACTCAGCAAGCACAACTGAACAAGGCCTGGGACCACCTGCAGGGGCTGACAAAGGATCGTAAAGAGAGCCTGAATGATGCTCAGAAATTCTACCTGTTCCTGAGTAAGGCCAGGTAAAACTCAAAAAGTTAACTTCCACCAGACAGGGAAACTTTCAAATCCTGAGAAGAACATCTTGGAATGGTCTGGATACAGATGCTATTCACTGCTATACGCAAGTCTCACCTCTGGTAAAGAATAATAATGTCAGGTTCAATACTTCAAGCCATAAACTATTGATGTTTAAGGAATATATGGACATTGAAACCAATTAAGTAAGCTTCTGTGACATATGTGTCATATATAAGGTGTTAGGTGAGGAGTTGTAGGGTATGGGGTTTCTCTTTATGCTGGATGGCAGAGAAAAATATGTATAGCCATAGTAAAACATAACAAAACATGCATTTTAAGAAACAATAGTGGAGAGGTAGAGGGGAAACATTTTGTTTCTTATAAGACTGGATTTTTTTTTTACTGGGGTTTGAACTCAGGGCCTTCACCTTGGGCCACTCCATAAGCCCTATTTTTGTGATTTTTTTTTTGAGATAGGATTTCACAAACTATTTGCCTTGCTGGCTTTGAACTGCTGTCCTCCTGATCTCTGCCTCCTGAGTAGTTAGTATTACAGGTGTGAGCCACTGGCACCTGGGAAGACTGGATTTTAACAGAAGAGAAAGCTTTTCATGTAGCTGGGACTCAGTAAAAAAAAGCACGTGGATAAGAAAAGTAGAGAATGCTCTCAAATCACAGGCAACTAGAGCATGGGTTTTGTATGTTGGGGGTGGTAAGGAGAACTAGCAAGAGATAAATTTAGAACTCTTGAGATCAAATTCTAGAGATTTTTCAATGTTACATTATAGTCTATACATTATAACATCCAAAACTCATCTTGCAAAAATATTCTTGGTGAAACAGCTCTATCCCACCATATCAATTTAATTGGAGTATTTGGAATTGTAGGTCTTGGAAGCAGCAATTAATAATTCAGTGCTTTTGAAGAAAAAGAGAGACAAATTAGAAAAATGATCATAATTGCTCTTTGCAAATCTTACTCCCATTTAGCATTTCTGTTAAGTTTTAGCCATACAGTATAAATAATTAGCAACCTATACCCATTCCTCAAAAGCATACTCATACATGTATATCATTAAGATTTCAGGTCAAATGATGCCTCTGTCTCTTTCTGAAGTCTTATTCCTCAACATTGCAGTAATGTTCCCAGCCTCTGGGAAGTATAACATCTTCTTTTATATCATTAAAATACTTTTTTCTTTCAAAATAATTTTATTATATAAAATACATATTTATTAAATGAAAGGTAGAAAATATAGAGATGAAAAATAATTTTTAAAGAATCCATAATTCCACTACACTGAGATAGTCACTTTGGGACCTTTAATTAGCACACATAATTCTTTTTTTAAAAGTTTTCAAATAGCTATTGGTATCTATGTTCTGTTTGCTTTTTTTTTTTCCCTTTATTATTCATATGTGCATACAAGGCTTGGGTCATTTCTCCCCCCTGCCCCCACCCCTCCCTTACCACCCACTCCACCCCCTCCCTCTCCCCCTCAC